GAGAGCGAGTATTGTCGGCAACCAGTTTTTCTTCGGCAACCGTTCCATTTGAGCTGCATGTAAATCTGCTGTTCTATTATCGGCAACTCGAAATCAGCTACAATTTGTAGTGCGTGTGTTTCATTTCAAGAAAACCTTGCTAGATTGCTTTTTCTCAGTGGTAAAAATATAGTCAAATTGAAGCTGAAAGCATAAAGAATCGTTTGCATGCATTCAGCGAAGTGTTTTCGTAAGAAAATCCAGTGAAAATAGTGTTTCAATTTGGGTTGCCGAAAATAGTCTGGCATGCCGAAGCCGTCATTTCCCCTATGTAAAAGAGTTAATATTCGAGTTATAAGAAAAGTGTTTTGCTGTCGTCGCCGTCGGGACTGAAAAATAGTAACAGCAAGTTGATTTGAACGTTGAACGGATTTTATCTTAATATGAGATAACGCTTATTGCAATTCGGTTGGATGAACGCAAAAGAAACAATATTCGAGTTTTACGACAGTCGAGTTGATCGGAAAGCCATATCAAATCCTTCTCAAGAGCAGTTGTTGTTGTCGCCATCCGGACAGAAATCTAATAACACGGGATAATAATAATTGAACGGGAGCTTGATCGTAGCTGTTTTGTGACATAAGAAGCTCGTTTGTCTTGTAGCGACCGATTTTGCTTACTTAGCAAACAATCATGGGTTCAATCTCAAGTTTCTTCACATTATAGAGTTATAGCGAAGACTACAAATCAAGAAGACTGGCAACTCTGCCAACAATCAGGAGACAGTAACGGCAACGCCTCTTTTGAGCAAAAGTGGAACCTGTGTATGATGGTGTGTGTTTATTCACGAGTGCATTCACACACATGGGTAGAAATAAATAGCTGTCAATTATTGGTTTTGTTATGATTGTCGTAAAAAGTGAAACGGTTCTTTCTTTACTTTATGCGAAAGTAAATTTATTTTATAAAATCAAAACTATGGCTATGATGGTGGGACCTTCCTCGATCATTAATTTGCTATCTCAGAATTATCTTCCACGTTTCCTAAGCCCTTTAGTGATGCATTTATTGGCATTCGTATGGTGCATTATTAAAATGCATGCCCGTTCCGCACGGCTTTGGCACCTGGCCACAGCAGGAGCAGTTAAGTTGTGACGCTCGGCAGCTTGGCACAGTACTCGCTGACCATTTGAATGTCACTGGCCAATCCGACACTGTTGTTATCATTCTCTGAAAGGGGTCGGTCGATTCCAAGAATTGTTAAAGCATACAGAGGACCACTATCCAGTGGTTTCATGTTCTGACAACATCTAAAATGGAAATATCAGTGCTAACATTTGAAAACGGCACAAAAGCCATTTGTAAACAAATGGTTTGTGGGCCCTTTACTCACTACTTGAAGTACACCCACGCGACACAACATCAACATCGGGTAGGGGAAATTTTCCCCTTCCTGACGATGCTGTTGGTTTGCGTGGGCGTTCTTCGGGTAGCGAGTAAAGGGCCCACAAACCATTTGTTTACAAATGGCTTTTGCGCCGTTTTCAAATGTTAGCACTGATATATTCTTTATCAATACGTACCGTTTGGGATTGTATTGTCCTTGAACCTTTCATTTTCATTTTCTCCAACATTAGATCCTGCAACGCCTTCCGTTGGATCGTGATGTAGGTACCAGATCTTTCTTCTTTTTGAAATCTTTGAATTTTTAGCAGCTTCAGGTGGTGCCAACAGCTGCCAATGCCTTATAATTGATTGCTTCCAACAGGCAAAATAAACAATATTTCGGTTCCTCGTTCACAATTAAAAGTTACTTGCACTAGGTAGGGCTTTTGATCTAATTTCCGTCCTACTAAGCACAACACAACAACACAAGCTTTACCTCTCTTTTCTGAACGAGTTTGAACGAAAAAAAAATAATATTTTTGTCAAAGATGACTTCTAAATTTATTCATCTTTGATAAAGAGTCACAAATTGTTGAGATATTGTTTAAAATCTAATACTGCTTCTTGATTCTAAATTCGTTCTATGAGTTTCAATTCCGTCCTAACGCATTGAAACGCCATTAGATTTCCTTCGTCCTACGGATAAACGTAGAAAAAGGGGTTTCGCTAGGAGCACTTCTTTTGTTTTGAAAACAATGAGCGTAAATATTCATACAATGCGCTCTAACAGGGTTTACGTTGTAGCTAATGAACTAACGCATCGGAACAAACCTTTTATTGATTTGTGCATGGTGAAATCATTGATATTATTGATCTTTTCTGATCGATAGAACGGAAATGGGCGATTACGACGAAGTAGTGCTCTACGCTATCCGAGTTTCAATCCTCTACTTGATCCACCATGACAAGTTTTTCGGTTTGGAGTTGGAAAACCATCTGGGATTAGGATACAATTTGCCGTGAAATTTTGTAGAGCAAAACAAAAACAACAACGAGTACCGTGTTATGATTATTCGTTTCGGTAACATTAGGTCACACACACAGTCACTGTTAATGAGCAGTCTCACTAACAGTTGTGCTTCAAAGTTCCACCTTTGATTGACAGAGGCGCTGTTATCAGTGACGTTTGACATTTGTATGGGAGAAGGGAACAGTTGCCAGTCTTCTTGATTTGTAGTCTTCGGTTATAGTGTAAATCGGTTTTTTCCTTAATATGAGATTAAAATTCGGGTGAAGGAATGAGTACATAAAAGAAATAACAATTGAGTTTTAGGAAAGACGTGTTGACCGGAAACCTATAACAAATCATTGTCATGAGTAGTTGTTATTGTCGTCGGTGAGGTCGCCACCGGGACCGAAATCTAGTACCAACAAGTTGACCAGAAGCTTGATCGTAATTGTTGCGTGTCATAAGGAGCTCGGTAGCCTAGTGGCGACCGATTTTGCTTACTAAGCGGAAGACCGTTCATCACCAAAACGAATCCTGCTGCAAACCCAACCCTTTTATCCAACATCCCAGTGAAAGGGCAGAGGTGTTCCCGGCTTTCATTAAAGCGAGTATTTCGTCAACATATTCCTACCCATTCCTTTCTTGACCAGCATTCGCACGTGGCCGGCGCTGGTATTGCCTAGTTAAAGATCACCAGTATTTACACATTGAGGATGATTTGTAGTCCCAAGCAACGTCTATTGGTTCTCTGTGTAATTACAGCTGAACTGGCAATAACCGAGTTTCATCCTCGGGTGCTCAATCATGCTCATCCGGGATGTAAATTGTATTAAGCGTTGTTAAAGAAGTTTAAAACTAAATGTTTGAGCATTATCTTACTACGAGAATAATTCTTCAAAACTTTATGAAAAATTCCTATCAATTTCTACAACCTGCATGCAAGCTTGTGAACGTTGTTTAAGCCAAGTTTGAGGCCAATTTATTCCATTTCTGATGCCCAAACCCTGCGCTTGACCTCGAAACGCCTTCTGGCTCCCTCCAACAACGCCTGAGCGACCTCTACTCTTGCGCGCAAGAACAACAGGCAAGGCATGCAACCTATCTTGGCGATGCACTTTTGCTGATTTATTACCGGGGTTATTAGCGTGCCCCAGTTCCAACTAAATGCGCGCGCTCTTGGGCAAAGCTCCACCCGAGCGCATAGACCTGGATCCGTCCGTCCGTCCGTCCATTCCTTCGCTAATTGTCTTCTCCCTCTAGCTCTAGACTCTAGTTTCGTTTCGTTCGCACGAGAGAGAGAGAGAGAGGGAAAAGTGTGGCACTTTCCTTCATCGAGTCGAGACTGCCGTCGTGTCGCCCGCCCTTCAGAACGGAGAACCGGAGAAAGAGACTTGATGGGCGAATCAATTGTGTTTCCTGCGAAAGTTGAACCGAAAATAGTCTTCTGTGTCAGGCTCAGTTGGTTGGCTGGTTGGGTGCGCAGTAAAGCCGAGCCGTCGAGGATTGTTATCTTCGAAAATCGGTTTCACCTTCACCGGGGCACGGTGGGCGAGATCGGAGATTGAGGGTGAAATAGAGCTGTGCCATTTCAATTCAGTTTTATTTTTTTACTACAAAATCTTAATGTTCAGAAGTCAATGGTACTTGTTCCATATTTTCCAGAGCTTACGATTGATTTAGCATCTTTTTTATAAATCTATCTATCTTGGCACATTTGACAGATAATCAGTCAAGTCTGCAAAGATGGCTGCGAATGTGGTTGTTCCATGTTTTGGAACATAGAAGAACAGGTCTGTTTTCAGAATTTACACATTTTTGGCAAGTCGTCCGGAACGAATTTTAACCACACTCCATCCCATCCGGAACCAATGTGTCTGGTGAAAACATGGGGGTGGCCACGGCGTCTGGCCCTGGACACGCGAAGGGACGGAATCGGTTTAGAGTTTAAATTGTATTATGCACAAACATTTGCATCCTTTCCGCCACGCGACTGACTCTGACGACGGAGGAAAAAAAATGAAAGATTTATAAGCCTTCGGAACAAGAGCTAACGATAGATTCGGTTTCGAGGTCACCCCTTCGTCATTGTGTGTCCAACTGCTTAGCCTGATCTACATGTAGAAAGTGACCACCACCGTCGCAGGAGGAGCAGCGTGCGATCGATCTACTTTGTGGCCAGATTGACCGGTAAATCATATGCCTCCGTATGAACGTCAAACTGATTATGCAAATAGGCCTAGCCTCCACACTTTCCTCACCTCCACCTCCACAGTCCAACCCAGTCGATCGTGCGTGCGTCCAACATCCATCATCATTGTATCGACAGAGAGGTGATGAAATCCAAATGACTTCACTTAATCCTGTCACTCACTTTCCGAGAGTAAATTGGCACAAGTGAATGTCACGAGACTGCGCTACTGAGTAAAGAAGACACCGCATTCAGGTTAAAAGTCGTAAAACAGATTTTCATTGATCCGTAGAATAAGGAAGAATTTTAATTGATCCACAGATGCGCATTGTTATTTTTTTATGTTTACATTTATTTGTATGTGCGGCGATCGAATCGCACATTAAACGTGGAATCGGTGCTAATTGTTATTCCGTTTTTTTCTTTCTCTCTTTGCAGTGACCGTAGCACCACCGCCGCAACGTCCCTGGATTCCTTTAGCGAGGCCAAATCGAACCAGGGGTGCATGTAAGTAGCTTATTATGGTTATAAAATTGGAGTCTTATTATATGAATTGGTAGACGAACAGACAGCAATTTGTGCGGTGCGCGCATACAGAGCTTAGTTTATGTGAAAAGGGTTAGCGATTGAAGGTTAAAAGGGATTTCTATGGTTTGTTAAGGTAACGCTCTTATGAAGGCTTCCGATAAAAAAGAACATAATTCACCTTAAAACAGTTTGTCTTAACAATGATTGCCCAATGCTGAAATATTTTGAAATGATCATTCCAGACCAAATAGGATAAACAAATAAAAATATAAGACTCGACCTTCTCCGCTTTGCATGAAACTTTGCATAATTATATGTTATGGGCAATCGTTGACATTTTTGCAAAAATTCAGCCAATTTGAAAAAGGGGGCCTTTGGCATTTTTTGCAGTAAATTTTAGCACTAAAACGTCACTTCTGATCAAAATGACGTCTGAGACAAAGTTGTTAAGAAAAGTATAGTAATTTTGGTAACAAATATTCAAAAGTTTTAATAACTGAAGTATCTCTAAAATTAAAACCATGGTCACTTGAAAATTTACAAAGATCGTAGAACATCAACGTTTGGTAATATTTTTTAACTTCTTGTTAACTAGGTCTTTTATGTTATTTTTGCACAGACGGCGATTTAGAGTGTCTCAAAGATTGTTTCTTTTGTATAAATTACATAAAAAAGAATACTAGCAAAAAGTTTAAAAAAATTACCTGAAGTTCCTGTTCAACGATTTTTGTAAATTTTCAAGTGTCCATGGTTTTAAATATTTCAAAAATTTGCATGTTTCATGAGCTTTAAAAAAAATAATAAAAAATGAGGGGGCATCGGCACCGATTGACTGTTTTCGGCAACCAAAATTTAAACTTTATATGTCGACTGTATTTTCCCTTCAAAACACTTCCCGAAATGTATTCAAACGATTCCTTAGTCTTTCAGCTTCAATATGATTACATTTTTATGACTGATGATTATGATTGTCACACGCCGGTGCCGGTGGTGTAGTAGTAAGCGTGACTGCTTTATAACACCCCGATGGGTCTGGGTTCAATCCCAGCCGAGGTCGGTGGGATTTTTCTGAGGCATAAAAATCTCTGGTCACGTCTTCCTTCGGAAGGGAAGTAAAGCCGTTGGTCCCGGCCATGTGTGTTTGAATGGGTGCGATATCCTACGCAGGTGTGGAAGCTGCCTTCCTGCACATTCGATTGCCGTCAATGGATAGCAATCGATATCCGTCGGTGATTGGCACTAGATTGCGGAACAGAGACCGACGTTAAAAAATAAAGGATTATGATTGTATTCTTTAAATTAAGTCTACGCACCGCAAAATGTGGCTGATTTCGAGTTGCCGATAGTAAAACAGCTGGTTAACAAGCAGTTGAAATGAAAAGAGATTGCCGACAATAGTCACACTCACCTAAGAAGTTTAGTGCGTTGTAAAAACACTTTCAAACATTTTTGAACAATTATGTCGATTGGAATGGATAGAGATGTTAGCAGTAGATTAATGTAAACACTCAAACACGTCATATGTGTGCGTGACGCTGAGAAAATGCTAATAGAAGCGTGGACGCTGCTTAGATTGACGAGAATACGTAAATTCCCCTATTTGAGTTTTTAATTTTTTTTTTTATGTTTTACTAAAAAAAATTGAATGCATATTTTTCCCAGAAAGACTTTATTTTTTACTACAACTTTGTCTCAGACGTTATTTTGGTCAGAAGTGACGTTTTGTGCAACAATTTAATGAAAATTTACAAAGACTCCTAAAAAAATACAATATCCAAAATGGTCGAATTTTAATACAGTAATGCCCCGTTTTTGTCAGCCCCCTGATGAATTTAGGGCTGACAAAATCGGGACATTTTTTTTCGCTTAATTTTTTTAACATAATATCTTTAAATGCTGTTTGATAATGCAAGATTTATGTTTTAGGAATCATTCAATATATACAAGCCCATTTAGGGGGGCGGGGGGAGCTGGAATTTCAAACTTTTCGTAAGTGTCTTATAAGGAAAGACATTCTTACATTGATGGTGTGGAAGGGGAGGGGGGGGGGGGGCTAAATGAACTTAGGTAAGAATTGAATGGCCACTCAATGCATATGTTGTTAAGCATTTTCAGTAAGGACAACAATAATAATACATAGTGCATAATAAAGACTTGCATATGTCCCATGGACCCCATATTAAAATTCTCTGAATGAAATTTGTAGAGATTTTGACATACACACACACACGCGCACGCACACACACACACACACACACACACACACACACACACACACACACACACACACACACACACACACACACACACACACACACACACACACACACACACACACACACACACATAAACACACACACACACGCGCACGCACACACACACACACACACACACACACACACACACACACACACACACACACACATACACATACATTTTTTTTTCATAAAGTTATTGAATATGGTTAAATAATCAATTGACCATTTCATCTCATGGGCAAAAATCGTCCCAAACTACGCTACCAACATTTCGAGCAACGAAATTCGAGGAATTGTTCACAAAATAAATGGTTCTGCTCTCCACTGTCGCACTCTTCTCTTTTGCTCTGCATTTTCTGCTATAGGCTCTACTAGAACTTGTGACCGAAAGTGGAAGACGAAGGCTTTCGACAAGGACCTGTTCGTTGAGGCACTTCGTGTGGACAGGAGTCCCGCAGATCTAAATGCGGACGAGCTGACAGAAACGTTAGTGAGAGCATGTGACACGACCATGCCGAGGAAACTGGAGCCAAATAACAGACGGCGTCCAGTCTACTGGTGGAACGAGGCACTTAGCACTCTCCGCGCTAGTTGTCTCAGAGCCAGAAGACGTGTTTAGAGAGCAAGAACGGAAGCAGACAGAGAGGAACGAAGAGAAGTGTTTCGAGCGGCCAGGACCGCACTTAAACGAGAGATTAAGCAGAGCAAGTCGAACTGTGTCGAGACGCTGATGCCAAACCCTGGGGCGACGCATACCGAGTCGTGATGGCGAAGATCAGAGGTCCAACGATGCCCGCTGAAATGTGCCCAGAGAAGCTGAAAGTCATCGTGGAAGGACTTTTCTCAAAGCACGACCCAACAACCTGGCCACCTACACCGTACGGAGAAGGAGAGAGAGATAACATCGAAGTCACCAACGAGGAACTCGTAGCAGTGGCGAAAGGATTGAAGGTGAAGAAAGCTCCCGGTCCAGATGGAATCCCCAAAGTAGCGTTGAAAGCGGCGATCCAGTCATCCCCGGACATGTGCAAGATGGTGCTGCAGAAATGCCTGAACGAGGGTCACTTCCCTGACAGGTGGAAGATACAGAAGCTAGTGTTGCTGCCGAAACCAGGAAAACCGCCGGGGGATCCAGCATCGTACAGGCCTATATGCCTGCTGGATACACTCGGAAAACTCTTGGAGAGGATCATCCTAAACAGGCTGACGAAATACACGGAGAGTGAGCACGGATTGTCGGAGAGGCAGTTCGGATTCCGGAAAGGGAGGTCGACGGTGGATGCAATTCGGACAGTGGTCGAGAGAGCTGAGAAGGCGTCTAAACAGAAGCGGAGAGGAGATCGATATTGGGCCATGATTACGATCGACCTCAAGAATGCGTTCAACAGCGCCAGCTGGGAGGCCATTGCCGAAGCACTGCATGGAATGAGGGTCCCTGACTACCTGTGCAGGATCCTGAGGAGTTATTTCCAGAACCGGGTTCTGGTCTACGAGACAGACATGGGACTGAGATCGATTATGATCACAGCGGGAGTTCCACAAGGCTCCATCCTTGGTCCAACGCTCTGGAATGGGATGTACAACGGCGTTCTAACGCTGAAACTGCCCAAAGGAGTTGAGATCGTTGGCTTTGCGGACGACGTCGTCTTGACGGTAACAGACGAGACGCTGTAAGAGGTGGAGGTGTTGTCAACCGAGGCAATCGACATGATTGGTAACTGGATGCAAGGAGCGAAGCTGCAGATAGCCCACCACAAAACGGAAGTGCCAACGGCTAAAAGTCTCCTTAATAAAGATACCTATAAAAAAAAAAAAACGGAAGTTTTATTGGTCAGTAACTGTAAAGCGGTACAGCGGGCAGAAATCACCGTCGGGGAGCACACCATAGCCTCGAAGCGTGTGTTAAAATACCTGGGAGTGATGATCGATGACCGGCTAAACTTCAACAGCCACGTCGAATATGCCTGTGAGAAGGCTTCGAAGGCTATCAACGCGATAGCTAGAATCATGCCAAACAACGCTGGTCCCAGCAGTAGCAAGAGGCGTCTTCTGGCCAGCGTGTCATCATCGATACTGAGATATGGAGGTCCAGCCTGGGTTCCAGCGCTGGAAACGAAGCAGAACCAAAGGAAACTGAGCAGTACGTTCCGGCTCATAGCCATGCGAGTCGTGAGTGCGTACAGAACCATCTCGTCGGAAGCAGTATGCGTTATCGCCGGTATGATCCCAATCTGCATAACCCTGGCGGAGGACAGCGAGTGCTACAGGCGGAGAGAAGCCGGAAGAGTACGGAAAGTTGTGAGAGTGGAGTGTGGCAACAGGAGTGGAACACGACGGAGAACGGTAGATGGACACAAAGACTAATACCGATTCTTTAGACCTGGGTGAACAGAAAACACGGAGAAGTCAATTTCCACCTAACGCAGTTCCTGTCTGGCCACGGCTGCTTCAGGAAATACCTGCATCGGTTCGGACACGCAGCGTCACCCCTTTGTCCGGAGTGTGGCAACGTCGATGAAACGCCCGAGCATGTGGTCTTCGACTGTCCAAGGTGCGAACGGAGATGCCCGTTCTTAACGTGGAGAATGTCGTTGATTGTGCCGAGAGGAGGACACTTAGAATGCCGTCAGCAGGGCAGTCACGCAGATTATGTCGGAGCTGCAGCCTAAATGGAGAGAAGAGCAGCGATCTAGCAACGCCAGCTAGCGCTGAGAGTACGAC